TAATCAGTCACCAAGTCCTACTGACCCCACCTCCTAAATAGTCCTCAAGTCAGTCCATTTCTCTCCATCTCCACTGCTAGGCCCTGGTGCATGCTGCTGTCCTCCCACCCAGGCCACTGCACCTGGGGCACAGCGTGGCCACTGGCCTCCACACAGCTTCTCTTGCCCTATTTTCAAGGCATTGTCTACCTAGCACCTGAGTGATCCTTAAAGAGCCACTTCTAGTTTAAATTCTTCGGTAGCCTCTGACTGCCGTTGGGATCAAACACAAATATCCAGTTGGGTTAAATGCCCTCCACAACCTGGCCTCTGCCTTCCTCTCCAGCAGCCTCATCACGTGGCAGGACCTCCTGCACCCCATTGGCCTTCCGTCCTTTAGCTCACCTCCCTCTCTCTCATCTGTAGGCCTCACACATGTTGCTCCTCGGCCTGGAATCCTCTTCTCCCACCCCAGAGAACACTTGGCTTCTTCTCTCACACTCAGTGCACTTGTAATTACGTGTCTATTGTCTGGGCTAGACCAGGAGCTTCATGAGGGCACAAACAGTGCCATCTTAACTGCTCAGTCTCCTCTGCCAGAGGCTCAAATGGCCCTCAACAAGGATTTATTGTGTGAATGTAGGAAGGAAGAACAGAGAGTTAAAAGAATGTCGTTCAATTTTTAGTTCTGCCTGTTTTATATCTTGCTAATTTTAAGACAATTGTAGAAATCATTTATTTGGACATCCATTTTCCTATCTTTTAAAAATTTTTTTTAATTTTTCCTTTTTCTCCCCAAAGCCTCCCGGGACATAGTTGTATATTTTTTAGTTGTGGGTCCTTCTAGTTGTGGCAAGTGGGACGCCGCCTCAGGGTGGCCTGATGAGCGGTGCCTTGTCAGTGCCCAGAATCCAAACCTGCGAAACCCTAGGCCACCGAAGCAGAGCGTGCAAACTTAACCACTCAGCCACGGGGCCGGCCCCCATTTTCTTGTCTTTAAAAAGGGGATAAAATATCTCCTTTGCAAGGAGTTCTAATGAAGATTAAATAAGATAACATTAAAAAGTGCATTGTTAACTTTAAGGATCATAGAAATGTTAGGGACTGTAATTGCTGTTGAGGAGAGAGACAGAGTAAATGTAAGAGAGAAACAGGACTTATGAGCTGGAAGGACCTTTAGAGATACACAGAAAACTTTGCTTAATTTACAGATGAGGAAACTAAGGTCACTTGCTCAAATTTCCTAAGCAAATGGTACAGGAGAACTCAAACCAAGGTCTCCTGACTGAAGTCTACTATGAGTAACCAGAAGCCCAGCTGTAAAAAGTTGGCAGGTCACTAGCCTGCAGAAGTTCCCAGGGGCCTCTGGAACCCACAGCGGCACCTGGACCCGTACCTTTCTTGTCTGGTCCAGGCTTAAAGTGGAAGCCCCCTGCCCAAAATGCCTATTGTCCTGCTGAGATACTGTACACGCATACATGCTTTCACAGGCATATATCCACAGGCACACACACACACACATGCAATAAGCCACCCTTGCAGTTTCTATGTAATGGAACCTGACATAACCAAACAGGCAGGTCCCTAGCCACCCTGCAGATGTAGTATGCGACAAGTTCCACCTATATGGGGCAAAGAGCCATGTCTAACATAAGTGTCCCTGTGGGGAATAACTTTTGCGGCCTTTTCCAGTTAATTGACACAGTGCATGATTTGCTCCCTAACTCTAGCCCTAAGTACAAAATACTGTAATCACTATGGATGAATCTGTGACATCACCCTATTCTCTCAACCACACATTAAACAATATACTTGCTCTCTGTAAACACTTTCTGAAACTTGGTTCCTACCTGCCTAAGAAGACCATGGGACTAAACCTGTAGTCTCTTCTCACCCCTCCATCTGTACTGTCCTGGCCCTGTACCCATATACACTGCCACGTCCTCAAAACAAGCAGCCTCTCAGTATATAAGCGTGTTTCTGCTCTATTTAGGCTATATCTGTATACACCATGTGCTATATTTACATCTTGAGTTCCATTCTAGTGACACAATGCATATCTGTCTCCTGCAACCCCATTGACATTATTTCTAGCACTATCTTTATCCATCTGGAAATACTGGTGGTCACCGGCTCAGCCACTATTTCCCTATACTTGATCCCATCCTAGTAATCCTAATAAGATCAGGCAATACAAACCCAGAAGGTGACAAAGCTAAAGGAAATCTGTAAAACACGGTTTTACTCACATAAAGACATCAGGAGAGAGGTTTTTTGCACTGTCCATTATCACAGAGTTGCTGCTCATCTCCTCTCCACTGGGGGTGAATAATCACTGAGCACAGCCAAGGACCAAGCATGGCATCAAGGTGATCTGGTCTTCCTCCAGACAAAAGACATTTTGCATCTGCTGACCCCATCCACAGGCGACTTCCTTGGAGACAAAGCTCCAAGTCACTCAATTGACAGTGTGTAACAGAGCTCAATATCTCTGTTGGAGACCCCCAACACCTTAGCTCTTGTCTATTTCTAGGCACCAGACATAAAACTGTATTCAAAGACATCCCCTCCCCCTCATCACACTACTTATTCTTTGAACTGATGTCAAGTGCCATGTGTATTTTTGAGGACGATGTGTCCTGGATTTTCCAGCAGTGTGTTTTGAATACTCTGACTTGCACCACAAATCGCTGGAATATTCTTGAGACTACAATACTTCTGCATTTACACTATATCGTCCATACTGCTGCTCACCTTAGGAAAACATCGCCCAAATCAAAAGATATGTTCTAATTTTAATTTAGAAAATAACACCATCACATAGCTGTATGTCTTTATTCACTGTTTGACATTATTGGCCCCAATGCTACAATGATATCTAAACAAAAGTAGCTGTCTGGACTACTAATTGCTAACACCTGTGTTCTACCCACTTTGGGAAAGTCTTGCCATCCCAGTGAAAACTGTAATATACATCTCTTATCTATTCCCAAATGTCCAAAAGTATCGCCTCATCCACTGTCTTGTATACCCGTTGGTCTTACACAGAACATCATCAGTGTTAATGCTGACATACACCTCACAAGCCCACCTGTGGCCATCCACACAGATAATGTAAGTATGAGTGACCTGTTTATGTCCTTCACACAGACCATGAGGGTGACCTTGTTCCAGTCCACCTTGCAGATACTGTAAATGACCAGCTCCTGTTCGCTCAACAGCTACAGTGAGTGACTCAGCGCCTGTCCACACCGAGTTGTTACCTGTTTGGGTCTACACCACTGACATTTGAGTAACACTCCTCCTGTTCAACCTATGACCCTGTGAGTGACCTCGTTCTTGTCCACACCATGCAGTGACTGACCACGCCAGACACCACGAATGGTATGTTCCTGTCTATTGCATAGCCGCCAGGCTTAATGTGGCCACAGACAACCTCAGATAGACCACATTGTGGGCAGCCACACACTCCAGGGACCCCTAAGATAAGAAGACTCTTGCCTCTATTTAGAAGCACCGTATTCTTTTCATAAGAGGGATTCCTCTGTGTACGTCCTGATGCCTCTCTTTTCCACACTAGCAGAACGACATACATTCCTCTTACAGGGCAGCCTCACTCAGAATTGACACCCCCCATCCTTCCCTCTCCCCAATGCCCCAACAGCCCCCTCAATATACATGGCTTCAGTTTCAGGCCCACTAATTGGTTAACAAATGATCCCACATTGCTAGGGCCTAGGCTACTCCAGGTGTACATAGAACAGGAAATCTGAGAAAGAGGCCATATCCAGGGCTGTTTAGTGAGGAGCTAGGATTTCTGGAGTAGGCCAAGGATGCAAGAACTCAGAATGCAGTGAGGGGGGCAAAACAGGGAGGAAGCTAGAAAGGAAAGTCACCCTCTCCCTTATGTGTTTGACACACCCTTCCCCCTCAATGTGACAAGAGTCCTGACCAGAGTTCACTCCTAGGTAGACAGGAGAGCCAAGCTGTCTTGGGAACCCAGGATCCAGGAAGGGGAGAAGGGATTGAGATCTGAAAACCAAGTGGCATCAGGATCAGCTCTCCTAGGGCAGTCTTGCTGGAAGGCAATTATAAACGATGCTCAGAACTAGAGCTTGAAATGGGTTCTGGCACCCCCACCCCAACCCCAAACTGTAAACAGCTCCCTTTCGGCCTCCCGGCCTCCCGGAGTTCCGGAATGCAATGTTGTGATTAACATGAAGCTTTGGAAGTACTCCCTGCATATGGGGAAATTGGGTGGGGGGCGGGGCAGGAGTCATTTTACAGGTGAAAGCATCCCGCGACCAGGGGGGAGGTGTGTACTTAGACATACAGTCTGCGAACCCATAGGAAGATAAAGGCAGGCAGGCCCAGGCCTGGTTAAGAAGAAGGAGACAATGAAACATCTCTAGGTAGGGAGTGCGTTCACAGGGAATCTCAGTTACCCCTTATTCTAGGGGTTAGCTTTCCCCAGGGCCGAAACTTTGGAGAACGAGCCCTGATTATTGGCCCGGGATCTGGGGGCAGGGTGCCCATTTCCAAGGCGGGCAGCAGGCCGGAAGCAAATTTTCCAGGCAAGAGCATTTCCTCCAGCTTCCCTCCTCTTCCTGACCAGGGTACTCGGTCACACACGCGAACCCCGCCTCTCTGCCCAGCCCCCCATTTCCGGAGCCTGCGCCCGGCTCCCGGCTGGGGCTGGTCCCGGGGCAAGGCCTCGATTCCTCGTCTGCCCGGCCCTCCCTTCCCTCCGCCGGGGCCCCACGGCCGCCCGGAGCCAGGAGTTGCGAAGGGACGAGGGCACCCACCTGGTCAGTGTCACATGCTGTCTCGGCCCAAGAGTCCCCTCCGGGTCGCAGGCGCCGGCCGGCAGTCCCCCGCGCAGGCCCGGCCGCCAAGCCGCCCCACCCGCGCCGCCCTGCCCGCCCGGCCGGGAGGGAGGGATCTGGGCCTCCTCGGAAGTTTCAGGTGAGGCAAGCGGGGACACACCTTCCCGGGGGAGGGGCGGCAGCGCCGGGCCGCGCCGCGCCGGGGCGAAGGCGGCTCCCGCGTCTGGGCTGGGCAGTGCCGGCCGGCGGGCCAGCGGCCGGGCGGGAGAGAGGACAGCGGGGCTCCTCGTGGCCTCGGACGTCTCTGCAGGCCGCCTGGGTGTTTCTTCGCCCCTGGACTCACGTCTCCACCTGCGCCTGACCCGGGCCCATGCTGATCTGATCCACTGGCTGGTCTGTGGCTCTCAGTGTCTGAGTTTCTGAGATTCTGTTTGTCTGTACGTGCGTCTTCACCTTGGGGCCTTGCTGTTCATTTCTCTTCCCTGATGTCTACCTGTCTCTCTCTATATGAGGAAGGGTGTATCCTGCTCGCTTTTTCTGTCTCCCTAGGAGGCCATCTCTTAGGGCCTAGAAATGTGCGTCTCTATGTTATCGGAGTTCATTTGAGGATGAGTATATATCTCAGGGTATGTGTTCCTTCTGGGGTCTTCCCAGGACCTGTATGTGTTTGTATTTAAGTATCTAAGCCTCTGTGTCAGGCCTGTATGTTTTCTCCTGCCTGTATTTTTTTCTGATTCCTTCAGGAAAACCCTGTGTTCTGTTGGTTTCTGAAGTCAAGGCTGAGGGGGTCTATCTTTATGCCTCTCCATAGACTTCAAAGAATGCCAAAATATTCTGTGGTGCAGGCACACACACACACACACACACACCGTAAGAATCCCTCACCTAGGGGACAAAGATCCTTGATATGTTCATTTTAGTCAGCTCAGCCCCCAACGCCAGTCATGACTCCAGAGGTTTCCATGATGATGTAAGTCAGGTAGAATCTTAGTGGCCTTTCTCGCTGTTTTGTTCTTGGGGATACCATGATCTAGAAGCCCCAACAGCTGGTCACTTAGACCGTTTCCAGATTACTATGCCCTTTGGCTACTGGATTGGTCCTGGCTGACCACACCTACCAGGTTTTCGAAAGGGACTTTAGGATAGAATGTCATTAAGATAGAGTGGTTTCTTCTCCAGTAGAGTCCTGAAGCCTCTCTATGTTCAAAGAATCTGCTACTTTGGCCATATTACTTTGGCCAGAGGGGTTAAGCCCTAAACAGTTCAGCAGCCTTCAGGATTCTCTAAGCTGCCATGGAAGGTGTGGGAAGCAATGGACAAAACCGGGACTAGAGGTTCAGGTATGTAAGGGCAGGACTAGCATGTGTCATAAGCTCAGCAAGGGGCTAAGAATGGGAAAAGCAGTAAGTCAAAAAGTTTAAGCTAGAGCTGTCTATTTCTAAGCTGGGAGAGAGAACTCAGTCCAGGGTATGAAAGCCCTTGATTTTGTTGACTGGGGAAAAATTCACTACAATTCAAATAGCAGATATTTATCTGGGAAATTAGAATTGCAATTCTGGAGATTCAGATTCAGGCAGAAACCCAAAATGTGCTCCAAGGAGGACAAAAGAGGCAATGGTTTATAAAGGCAAAAAGAGAGAAATCACATGGGTTGTTTTGCAAAATTTATGATTGGTGCTGGCAACAACTGTTCCGTCTTGGCTATATGCGATTGGTTGCTAAGGCCATCTCTAAGGAAGAAACAGAAAGTTCTTATCTATGGGAGCAAGCATATTTCTTGAAAGAAGGTCAGGATGACAACAGTGAAGCACAGTTCCGAAGTTACATTCCTTCTGGGTTGAGATGTGGAGTGCATGCATAAGCCCCACTTCCTTAATGGCCTCCCAGCTCCATTTTAGAAGCCTTGACATATGTTACTCCATTTTGTGATCGCTGTCCACAGTTTCTAGTGGGTGAGCAAGGTTAGTAAACTTCTGATCCTTGGGCAGAACTTGCTGACCTCTGCTATGTTCCATAGTGCCTCCTGGGAATGGGCAATGTGGTCAGAGGTGCTGCAACTGCCTCCTGAACCAGCCTGCCTATTCTTTCTGCTCTGCTCCGGCTTCACTTGTTTCTCCTTGATTGCAGCTCTCTATCCCTTTGTTTTCTCTGAATGTCAGGTCTCATAGACTTGACCTCTTGTTCTGCCAACTCTGGCCTATCAGCATTTTTGTTTTTTTTTAAGTCACCATGCTTGATTCAGTGACCCCTGGGCTCTTGTCCAGCGTGTTAAGCATACAAGACTTGACCTGACTTTTCAACTAGTAGTGAGATGTAGGAAAGTTAAACTTACCACTTAGGGAGTTGGCTCTTCCCGTGGAGTGTCCCTGTCTGCAGGGTGTTTGCATATGGGGACCAATCTAGCACTCCAGGCTGCTCTTCCCTTCACTTTGCAGACTGCGGTGTTCATTGTTTTCTTTTTTTCCATTTCTCGGTGCTTACTCTTAGTGTGTGGGCCTCTTAACCAGGCCTGTCATCCTATCCTGAGATTTTGAAATTTTATCTGGGCTTATATTTCCTCTGTAAACTCCTAGAGAGGAGAGAGTGATACAGCGGAAAGAGGATGAGATTTAAATTCAGACATGGGTGGATTTGAATCCCACCTTCACCACTTACTTAATGCAAAAATTTGGCATATTAACCTTCCTTTGCTTCATTTGAATATTCCTATGCTTCGTTTTTTAATGTCTTAAGTGAGGATAATAATATTTAACAACACCTGCCTCACTGGGTTGTTGTGGTGATTCAATAAGGTAGTGTATAGACATCACCTTAGTCCAAGTGCAGAAGGTCATTGATACGGGTTGGTTTCCTTTCCTAACAGTGCCTAATAGTTGTGTATGTTGAATAAATAAGTTTACAATAACAAGGTGATAAGGGCTGGGAAAGGTAAACGGATTCAAAATAAAGTCATTTTAAAATAAGAGCTATATTAGATGGGGGAGGAAAAGAATAGGTTCTGGAACTTGGGGACATTTTAATTGGAGACAGTGCCCTTGACATGCAGGCATGGCAGGGGAAGGACAGAGAACTGTCCTGTGTAGTTCTAAGTATTGAGGCTAAAGGAATCACAGTGACCCTTTTTGGGACAGGAACTCATCAGTTATCCTTAGGCTGTCACTGCTCTGATCAGATGTCCTCCTGGTGCCACCATCCCAGGTTACTGGCTGTGTGGTGTCCCACTTGGTTAACTGACTCTCACTGGACCCAGTGCTAGTTCTTGGAATATTCCTCTGGCCTGACTGTGCTTTTTTGCCTGATCCCATGACCGCTCTTTGAACCTTTTTGAACTGGTTTTGAACTCAGTTCTTTTCTTAACTTGACTGACTATGGTTTCTTCATCTTTCTTCTTTCAGTCCGCCATGCCTTGCCACTGCGGTTCTTAGCTGTCCTCTTCCATTCTGATGAAGGTATTTTTGTTTTCTCATCCTTGGTTTCCCTTTATTTCTTTTCTCAACCTTTGCACATTGGCACGAGTCTAAATTTAGTGCTCTTCAAGGTGTAAATACTAATTGCCTCATTCATTTTTTAAAATTCTTTTATTCAATATGCAGTTTTAGAAACCAGATATACAAAAACCAAGTCTCTGCCCCCAAGAAGTGTTCAATCTAATTGAGGAGAGAAACAGATAGTAAATCATGATAGCAGAGCCTGATAAGTGTTGAGGTCTACACAAAGTGTACTGAAAGCCTAAAGGAGAGAACACTGCTCTGGGAAGAAGAGAAGCCTGAATGGATCAGGCAATGCTTGAGTTGACTTGTCTTAAAAAAGTCACCTGGTGGAGAGGAGGATGGAGGAAAGGCCTACCGACAACAGAGACGGGATGTGGAAAAACAGAAGCCTGAGCATATTCGGTTCAGGGAAAGGCACGTAGTGTGGGCTTAACATGAGGTGTGGTGAAGAAATGGCAGAGAAGGAAAAGAAAAAAAATGGTAACTATGTAACCTGATGGGTATGTTAATTAGCTTGATTGTGGTGATCATTTCACAATGTATGCATATGTTGAAACATCAAGTTGTCCACTTTAAATATATACAATTCTTGGTGTCTCACCTGGTGGTATAGTGGTTAAGTTTGTGCACTCCGCTTCAGTGGCCCAGGGCTCATGGGTTCGGATCCTATGTGCAGACCAGTACACCACTCATCAAGCCATGCTGTGGCAGCATCCCACATATAAAATAGAGGAAGATTGGCACAGATGTTAGCTCGGAGACAATCTTCCTCAAGCAAAAAACGAGGATTGGTAACAGATGTTAGCTCAGGGCCAGTATTCCTCACCAAAAAACCACTATATATATATATATATGCATGTACAATTCTTATTTGTCAATTATACCTCAGTAAAGCTGAAAAAAATCTTTTAGAGGAGCCCCATCTCTGGAAGAATAAAGTCTAAACTCAGTAGCATGTGTGGCCTGCAAGGCCTCTCATGATCTGGTTGCCTGACTCCACGCTCTCCCCAGGTCTCTGGAGGCTCATAGTTCTTGAAATTTCTCCTATGGGCATATTTTTAACTTGGATGCATTTATCATAGGAAAATATATATGCCTCTGCATCTTACTGAATTGAGCATCTCCGAAGTGTCTGGTAAATAATGTCTGAGGATGACCATGTCTTTCCACAGAAAGGTCACAGCTATGGTAGAGTGCCAGAAGTGGTAGAGAGACAGCAGGATCCTATCCTGTATCGCAGCAGCAATCCCTGGAAGGGCCATTATTCAGATTGTCTGGATTGTCTTGAGTGCTTGGTTTTGGGATGTTTCTAAAGTTCTGGGATGGGGGTGATCCCTGTTCGTCAAGAGACTAAAACCGATGACGTCCGTTTAGTGGCATTCTGGCTCTATTGCAGTCTCTCTCAAACCTGGCAAATTAGCAAAATCTCCTGGAAAGATTTTTTTTGTCTGTTTCCTATTGTCTGTTTGTTTGTTTTTAACCATCCCAGGTGATTATGATGAGAAGCTAGATTTGGGAACCCTGGTATAAAAGTGGTTCTTTACCAGAGGTTTCTGTTATAATCACCTGATAAGTTTTATGAATTTGCCTCTGCCCAAAACCTATGGAGTTTCAATTCTGGAGGTGTGGGGTCAAGCAGAACTCATGTAAAATAGCTCCTTGCTGATTTGGATGCTTAATGATAATGGAGACACTCTGATCTACAGTGATTTTAAAACATCTTTTATCCTACCTTCCGTCAATAAAAAAAATTTCATCAAACATTCTCAGTATACGAGTGTTTTATCTATTTATAAACTATATACATTTACTTCCTTATAATATGCAAAAGCAGACATTTTAAAATAATGAGATAAAAATAAATATAATGAAAAGTTCTTTTTCATCCCATTCCCCCAGTGC